TCTCAAAATTAATCAAATCTTGAATGATCATCAGTTTGGCTCTCAGGCTGGTAAATCAAAAAGTGATGTCATGTACACTATAGTGAACGAAATTATAAGCAAGTTGGACAAAAGTAGAAAATATATAGGTGTTTTTCTGGACTTGAAAGCATTTGACACAGTAAACCATCAAAAACTTCTCTCTGTCCTTGAAAACATCCAGCACAGAGGTTATGTGCTGGATGTTTTCATTACTTGGAAAATAGACAACAACATGTTAAAATCCATGACTCGATAAGTGTTGCAACTACTGTCAAAATAGGAGTTACTCAAGGAGCGGTACTGGGACCTATACTTTTTCTACTCTACATCAAATCAATGCTTTCACTATCAAATGCTAAAATTGTTTGCTATGTTGATGACACTGTAATCATATTCGAGGGTGATACTTGGTCACAAGATAAATTACATGTCCAGAGAGAAATAAACATAATAATGAATTGGCTAAACGTTTTTCACCTATCACTTGAGAAAACACACTATATAGCTTTTTTAGCAATAATGCAAATAGACCAGAGTTCTAGAATATTAACAAATAAAACTAATTCATTGATGATTTTCACTAGAGTAAAAATTATACAATAAAGTGTATTAATTAGTTTTAATATGAATTTTCATCAAGTTTCGGCCAGTTCTATTCAATAAATAAAAACATCACAAAGGTTAGCAAAATCAAATACTTAGGTATTATAATTGACAAAAGTCCCAGGTGGGAAAAAAAAACATCACAGAGGTTAGCAAAATCAAATACATAGGTATTATAATTGACAAAAGTCCCAGGTGGGAAAGAGACATCAACTACTCAACAACAAAACTTAAAAAGCTTATTTACAAATTCTATATACTGAGAGAGATACTGTTACTTATAATATACAAATCATTCGTAGAGACACTCCTACGTTATGGAATACTAGTGTGGGGTGGTCTCTATGAGAACTCACTAGAAAATCTCAAAGTGATCCAAAATTTTACACTAAAAATTATCACCAGACGGAAAAAACGATCCTCGACAAAGGCATAGTATTCTTCAGATATATTTGATATTCGGTATTTATACTTCTTAACGAAAAAAAGAAACTCATACAAATTATGAAACAACAAAAATTAAATTTCGCTGTGGGGCGACTTGGTTGATTCCAGAGGCACATTTGCTTTTTTAGCTGCAGTAAAACCCAGAAAAACCTGCAGCACATCATCTGAAGATCTTCTTCTGCCAATATACTCTCTTCCATAGAATAAAATGTAGGGTGTCTCCAGAGGATCCAATAAATTCAAGATATTGCCAGAATATTTAGAGTGACAATGACTATCGTCAAACTTAAACCAGTCCGTTTCAGTTTTGACTAATGCGTGATAATGACCAGATTCAACGCCAGAACCACAGGGAACAGTGACTACATGAAGATTATAATAGTGATCTGCTAAATTGAAGTGTTCATCTATTTCGAACCTTCATAAGAGTTTGGTGCTTCCGTTAGAGGTTGAGTCATGTTTGAAAATCATCAGTTATTAGATTGGCTGGTGCCACAGCTATACTTGTTATCTTATAATAGTCAGTTAGTTTGGCGCATATTTGGCAATACAGTTGATCATCACCTGTTAAAAGTTCTATTTTCAGATGATTTAACAATTTTAATATTTGCCTATAAGAGTAGACATTGTCTGCAAACTTTTAATCATGGTTACAACACACGGGGCATATTGAACCAGCTACTTGTTACACCATTTAACAAGAACATTAGTCATTGATTTGTAACATATATTCAACCTAAAGCTTATAATCTATTATCCCTTGCCATTCGAAACCTCTGATACTAAACTATTTATTTATAATAATTACAAGGACTTCTTAAAAATTATAGAATCACAAAATCTGTAAANCTCGAAAGGTTGGTCATGGCGTACTTCGAGCATAACAAATTGAGATTAACCCTAACAAAACAGAACTCGTCAATTTCACGAAGAAATTTACTAACGTGAAGATCTTCGGGAAGTTGCGAGTAAAGGAAAATTGCGCCTGGTTAGGCGCCTGAATTTTCAGGAACATTTGAGCTTGGCGATCTAACGAGCAGGCGCTGCACGGAAATCAAAGCTTAGTGTTGACAAAAAGCTGCTAATTTAGAAACAAGTAATCAGACCAGCTATATATATTCGAGCTTTACCAAAAAAATCCACTGCTGAAAATATCATTATTCATCCATTAATTATCGGTCCAGTGAAATTTATAGATCATTTGAGACAGAATAGTGCACATATACTAAACACCTTCAACATTGCCTGTGCTTTTGACCCAACAGTTTTAGCTTAGAATTGTATGAGTCTATGTTACAAAGTATAATTTTAGTTGATAAGAATATTTTATTCATTTTACACATAACTCTTATGAGTAATATTTATTATGGTGTCTTAAAAATGGTGAAAATACGTTTACATTTATTATTCCTGAAGAACCATTTTTAGTTATAGATATTTACAAACAAAATTATTTTCCAGTTGACAATCAAGATTCAAATAAATGTTTAGTCATGAGTAGTAAATACGTCTGTAAACAGAAGTACCAATTATTTCACAATCTTATAAAACTTGTGAAGCTATGTTATTTTCTCCTATTGAAAGCTTGCCGATTGTCTTTGAAAAATGTGCCATATTTTTGAAAAGTAACTTATTCATCAAATTACATCAAACCAACTCATGGATTGTAAATAGCCCAACTGATGCCATTTTAACTATTCATTGTAAAAACTCTTCACATAAAAGGGAAACTGAAATTCCATTGTTCAGCTTTCACAATTTCAGTTTTCTCAAAATCATTAGAAGGCAAAAATTTTAATGAAACAGTTTACGATACCTATTATCCAAAGTTTGATGTAAACGAAAATGTGTGAAATGATTCATTTGAATTTTCCATTTTACCGGCGTTGAATGACACTACTTTTATCTTGTCTAGAAAAACTAAAGATATAATTTGAATAAATTGATGTCCAAGAAACATGACGAATTTATTGATTTTAATAATTTGCACCATTATCTATCTGTAATTGTAATTGTAGCATATATTGGTATGTTTAATCATACCAAATGTTTAAGAAGAAAATAAAAGGTTGAAGAAACCGATAATTCAAGTTCGATTGAAAGTAAAGAATCAAATGAAGACAGTGAATATAAAACATTGCCAAAATCTGCCACAATCCAAGATACAAATTTTGATCTTAAGGTGGACAAATGTTGAGAAGCATAGTCAAATTATATCATTTCATTCATAGGAACTGAACTCATCTTAATGCCAAACTAAACTGGGTAAAACAAATCAGGCTTGTGTATGCGAAGTGGTAAAAAAAAAACTTTTATGAATTGATGCAGAAGAGGTCCCATCTCGTTTTTCAATATTAAATTCGCCGTGGTTTGCTCCCAACTCAACCTATACATGATGGCTTAAAGAAGAGATTTTCAATCTGGACTTCATTATAGCTGATATTAAAATAGATAATGAAATAAAGGTTATAGGTTTATATTTAACAAACTTACCGAAAGGAAAGGTATCAGAATGATGCATGCTTCAGCAACTAACAACCGTCTCTCAACATGTTTATGTGTCAGCTGTAACCAACACTGAGGTAGAATTTCATTCTCAACTAAATTTTCCCCTGAGTACTTAGCCACAGACAATAAGCCTAAAGAAAACATTTATTATCAATCTTTGAAATAAATAAATAAGCAATTTTTTTATTAGACAATAATCACAAAACTATTATTATAGCAATGTTTCCAACACTTATGTATGTAACAAAATAATTGTTAGAATTGATATTTGAAAAAAATA